TTCTTCACTCCAGAAAAAATAAGTTTTGTCAGTCAGTAAAATTTATTTCTTTTATCTTTTGTGTTAATGTCTAGTTGCATATTATATGACATATCCCCTGATGACCAAATTGCACCCGTGCACTCCCTATTCACTGCTAAGATATGAGTTAAAGCACACAACAGATCAGATATCAGGTAAAATGCACTAAAAAGATCATGTGCATTGGGTTTTACCAAGAGGGTGTTGGTAAGAATCGAACAGGTTTTCTTCAAGGAATGGTAAATTCTATTTTATTGATATTTAAACGGTTTGGTCTGCGCCAGATTTAGGCTCTTGTCCGAAAGGGCGTGGGTTCAAATCCCACAGCCGTCAAGAGATGTTTAAAAATATCCCTACGCTCTCCATTGTACTTCACTCCATGAAAAAAAATTACTTAAACAGCAAAATACAAAAATGTGTTGGAAAAAAGATTAGTCAGTCATTAATGTTTATTTCTTTTTGTTTTTATCAGAATTGATGGTAAATTATAAATATATTGTAACTTCTAAAAGAATTGGATTTAATATATCTTTTGTGTTAATGTCTAGTTGCATACAATATGCCGTATACCCCAATCACTTGATGACGACATTGCACCCGTGCACTCCCTATTTACTGCTAAGATATCATTTTAACCAAACAAGAGATCAGATGTCAGCAAAACTGCACTTAAAATATCATGTGCATTGGGTTTTACCAAGAGGGTGTTGGTTAGAATCGAACAGGTTTTCTTCAAGAAAATATAAATTCTATTTTATTGATATATAGACGGTTTGGCCGAGTGGTCTAAGGCACCAGATTTAGGCTCTGAGCCGAAAGGGCGTGGGTTCAAATCCCACAGCCGTTAAGAGATGTTTAAAAATATCCCTAAGCTCTCCATTGTATTTCACTCCATGAAAAAACAATTACTTAAATAGCAAAATACGAAAATTAGTAGAAAAAAGGAAAACAATTACTTAAACAGCAAAATACAAAAATTAATAGAAAAAAGGTTAGTCAGTCATTAATGTTTATTTCTTTTTTTTTAACAGAATTGATGGTAAATAATAAATATATTGTAACTTCTAAAAGAATTGGATTTAACTTATCTTTTGTTTTAATGTCTATTTGCATACTATATGCCGTATACCCCTATCACCTGATGACGACATTGCACCCGTGCACTCCCTATTCACTGCTAAGATATCATGTAAACCACACAAGAGATCAGATGTCAGCAAAACTGCACTAAAAAGATCATGTGCATTGGATTTTACCAAGAGGGTGTTGGTTAGAATCGAACAGGTTTCCTTCAAGAAAATATAAATTCTATTTTATTGATATATAGATGGTTTGGTCGAGTGGTCAAAGGCACCAGATTTAGGCTCTGGTCCGAAAGGGCGTGGGTTCAAATCCCAAAGCCGTCAAGAGATGTTTAAAAATATCCCTATGCTCTCCATTGTATTTCACTCCATGAAAAACAATTACTTAAACAACAAAATACGAAAATTAGTAGAAAAAAGGTTAGTCAGTCATTAATGTTTATTTATTTATTTTTTAACAGAATTGATGGTAAATAATAAATATATTGTAACTTCTAAAAGAATTGGATTTAACTTATCTTTTGTGTTAATGTCTATTTACATACTATATGCCGTATACCCCAATCACCTGATGACGACATTGCACCCGTGCACTCCCTATTCACTGCTAAGATATCATGTAAACCACACAAGAGATCAGATGTCAGCAAAACTGCACTAAAAAGATCATGTGCATTGGATTTTACCAAGAGGGTGTTGGTTAGAATCGAACAGGTTTCCTTCAAGAAAATATAAATTCTATTTTATTGATATATAGATGGTTTGGTCGAGTGGTCAAAGGCACCAGATTTAGGCTCTGGTCCGAAAGGGCGTGGGTTCAAATCCCAAAGCCGTCAAGAGATGTTTAAAAATATCCCTATGCTCTCCATTGTATTTCACTCCATGAAAAACAATTACTTAAACAACAAAATACGAAAATTAGTAGAAAAAAGGTTAGTCAGTCATTAATGTTTATTTATTTATTTTTTAACAGAATTGATGGTAAATAATAAATATATTGTAACTTCTAAAAGAATTGGATTTAACTTATCTTTTGTGTTAATGTCTATTTACATACTATATGCCGTATACCCCAATCACCTGATGACGACATTGCACCCGTGCACTCCCTATTCACTGCTAAGATATCATTTAAACCACACAAGAGATCAAATGTCAGCAAAACTGCACTAAAAAGATCATGTGCATTGGATTTTACCAAGAGGGTGTTGGTTAGAATCCAACATGTTTTCTTCAAGAAAATATAAATTCTATTTTATTGATATATAGACGGTTTGGCCGAATGGTCTAAGGCACCAGATTTAGGCTCTGGTCTGAAAGGGTGTGGGTTCAAATGCCACTGTGACACCCCAAAAATCCACACTCCAAACCATGAATTAATTGAGTAATTAATTCTATTTTTTTTTTGAGGGATTGATTCCTAAAATCCTGATTTTTGATACTCAAGGACTAGTATTTGACTAGTCAATCTTTTAGTGGTGTTGTACCTTGTGCTTCGAGAGGAGTTCCCTTGCTCCTTACACTTTCTAAGAGTTAGTAAGGGTATCCTTGTCTTTTCACCAAGAGCAAGGTTTGTAACCTAAACCTAGAAGACTTCTTCATTTCATTCCCTTACATTTCCTTGAAAATATCTCTACCTTCTCTCTAGAAAACAAGAGTAGCTTGTTCTTCAAGCCAAAAGAAGCCTTTGTCAAGATTCCAAGTTTTGCTTCCAAGATTCAATCTTTCCTCTATTTTGGCATCTAGAAGGGTAAGATCTAAGCTTGTCTAGTCATTTTGGTTCCATCTTAGTTGTCTTTTTCTTAAAGGTTGGATCATTATGATCTTTTGGTTTGATCTTGAAGTGGGTTTGGCTAGTGAGCTTAGTGGAGAGCTTGTTGTGGTGTAAGAAGAGTCTTTTGGTCTTCAAGAGGTAACCCATGCTCTACAAAACCTATTTTGCTTACCTATATATGATTTCTTGGCTTCTACTTGTGTTTTGCTATGAAATGTGAGAGTTTATGCATTTATCTTGTGATATTGCATATCTAGAGCTTGTGTTTAGGTTTCCTTTGTGCCATTGCTTGGCATTTTCCTTGGTTCAAGTCATTTTGTTGTGCTTGGTGAGATTTGGCATGTTTTGGACTTGAATTTGTGTTTGAAGGAGAAAATCCCCGAAGGGATTGTTTGACACAGGAGCGTGTACCCGCGGGCGGAACGGCGGGGAGAGCCCTACCCGCCGCCCACCCGCCGGTACACGGTAATGTGGGTGTTGTACCCGCGGGCAGAACCACGGGTAGGGGCCTACCCGTGGGTCCACTCGGGGGGAACACGTTGGAGTTGAGATGGGATTTGTTCCCCGTGTTTCGTTTGTCTTGGTCTTTGATCTTTTGGCATTCCGTTGTTCTTTTGTGGAACTATTTGAGCGTCTTCTTGATGTTTCGTAGGTCTAGAGCTTTATGGAAGGTATCCATGTAGGATCTTTGTTGTTGTGTATCGTGCTAAGTGTTCAACATTGTGTTTCGTTGAACCCTGTGGTGTCTTGTGTGATCCTCGGAACTATCTTGAGTTTCCTCGTTGTTGAGCTTGCTAGTTATTATCCTAATGCTAGCGTCGTTGTTGTCGATGGGTGGTGACCTGTCTGTTATTTGAGTATGTTTCGTACCTCTTTTGCAATCCGTTGCTTGTTTCGCGTGAGTGGTGGTGCGTGTGTGGCTTTACCTGGATTGCACGATTAGTGGTATGGGACGCTAGTCACCAGGGTATTGCAGCGGTCCTCGTGGTGGCCGTGACGTGATTTCATGGAGTTGTGGCTGAGTCCACGTGTTTGGGGGATAACATTGTGTTATCCGGGCATGTGTTGCCGTGAATTGGTGGGTTTTCGTTGGTGGTTATAGGTGGGGGACGACGGTCCTGGAGGAATAAGGTTGGACTTGGATGTACAGGGGCTTTCTGGAGGTAATGGTTGGCACCAAAGGTACAAGGTTGGGGGTAGCCATAAGGTTGGAACAGGGCATAAGGAAGGCATATCAACTCGTGATGGGTGATGTCACGAGGGCTTGTGAAGCCGTTGTTGTGGTGAGTTCTCTTCTCTCGTGACGTGTGTAGTCACGTAGGCTTCTGGTGTGGTGTTTTGGCATGTGTTGCAGTTGGGTGAGTCTTTATCCTTGTGTGTGGTTAACCTTTGTGGTTTGGGATGTGTTCCCGGTTTTGTCCTTGTGAGTGGTGAGTCTTGCGTTGTCTTTTGATCTTGGTTTTGACTTATATATATGTATTCCGTTTCGAAAATGGTTTTCATATTATATATCTACCTATTTATGATACTTAACGGTATTGGTGGGTTACCAGCATCTTTCGCTGACCGGGCGTCGCCCCGATGTTTATCTTTGTATCTTTCAGGTGATGCGTAGTCGAGCGCGATGTCTAGAGCCGGTAGCTTAGCACCTGTATATTTATACAGTGTTGTTGAGGCCTGTGTGCCAATGTCTTTAGATTGTTCTAGTTTTGTTGTTTTTGGGATAGTGTTACACTTGCAGATTGTCGCCGTAGCGTATACCTAGTGTGGTATACGTGGCATAACACCCCGTTTTGGATTCCTTTTATCCAGTTATCTTTTTATCTTCCACTGTGCTAGTTTTGTGCCTGATTTGCAGTTGTTAAGACTCGTTTTAAGTTGTCTTGTTTTGGGGGGTGTTACAGTTGGTATCAGAGCCTAGGTTTGAACCTTGGTCTAGAGCCTAGGAGGAGTTGAGTCTAGACTTTCTAAGTGTTTAAGTGTGTTTTGAGACCTCTAAGCGACCTTAAGAAGCTATGTGTTAGGCTTAGGACTCTAGGTTGCGCGGTGAGATGTGTGTTGTTTTCTGTCTTGCTTGCTTGCTTGCTCTTTTGGTAACCTTGTTGTTGTAGCAGAAGTCTGTGATGCCTCCTCGCCAGCGAATCGCAGTGTTTGAAGATGTGAGTGAAGTGGTTAAGAGATCTCGGTTGGCCGAATCTAGCAGTGCTTCTGGGATAGTTGAACGGTGGATCCGGAGTGGTACATCTACAAGAGTAAGTTCTAGTGCAGCTTCTGTGCCGGTACTCCGTGATGTAAGAGAGTATGGAGAGATAGAGGTTCCTTATCCGACGGTAGGGTCATCTCAAGAGAGGGTGCTTACCTTAAATGAAGTCCGAACAAGTGACAGTGACGTAGTAGTGGGAACCTTCCTTGTGCAGTCTGTGCCGGCAACAGTCTTGTTTGATTCAGGGGCATCTAACTCGTTTATATCACCCGGCCTCGTGAAGAAGTTGGGCTTATCTGGGAGCGTGGGAGTGAGGTTTAATGTGAAGTTAGCGTCAGGAGAAGTTAGGGTGTGTGACCGTCTTTTTGAGGGCATCAAGGTCTGTATCAAAGGTGAAGAGTTTCCTAGTGATCTAATCCAGTACGACTTGGACGGGATGGATGTGGTCCTAGGTATGGACTGGTTGGGGCGGTTTAGAGCCCAAATCTTGTGCAAAGATCAGAAGATAGTGCTACGAGGACCCAGCGGGAAGAGAGTGTCATACCGTGGAAAGATGGAAGAACCCGGAATTAAGTTGGTGTCTATGGTAAAGATGAAGAGGTACATGGACAAGGGCAATGATGTGTACTTGTGTTCCGTCGAGAACTTGGAGGCAAAGGAGGAAGTGGCACATACGATACCTGTAGTCCGTGAGTTTCTTGATGTTTTTCCCGAAGAAATACCGGGTATGCCGCCTACTAGGGAAGTGGAGTTTTCAGTGGATCTCGTGCCGGGCACTGCACCCATCTCTAAAGCCCTATATCGTTTGGCTGCGCCAGAAATGCAAGAATTGAAGGCTCAGTTGCAAGAACTCCTTGACAAGGGTTATATCCGGCCAAGTGCATCGCCTTGGGGAGCTCTGGTGTTGTTTGTAAAGAAGAAGGACGGGACTATGAGGTTGTGTATCGACTACCGGGAGCTGAATCAAGATTACCATTAAGAATAAATACCCTCTTCCAAGAATAGATGACTTGTTTGATCAACTACGTGGCGCGGGAGTGTTCTCCAAAGTTGACTTGAGGTCAGGGTACCATCATATAAGAGTAGCGGACAAGGATATCCCTAAGACTGCATTTTGGACTCGGTACGGTCACTACGAGTTTACGGTTATGCCTTTCGGTTTGACTAATGCCCCTGCAGTTTTCATGGACCTGATGGACAGAGTATTCAAATCTCACCTTGATGATTTTGTGATCGTGTTCATCGACGATATCTTGGTTTATTCAAAAGATAAGGAGGAACATGTTGGACACCTTCGGACGGTACTTCAAATCTTGCGGGAAAAGCAGTTGTATGCCAAGTTTTCTAAGTGCGAGTTTTGGAAAGACAGTGTGACGTTTCTAGGCCATGTGATTGATAGTAGAGGGATTTCTGTGGATCCAGACAAGATACGGGCAGTAAAGGAATGGACTGCATCTTCAACAGTGTCGGAAATAAGAAGTTTTCTTGGGTTGGCAGGTTATTATCGGAGGTTTGTTTTGGATTTTGCCAAGGTGGCTCAACCGTTGACTAAGTTGTTAAGAAAAGAAGTGCCTTTTGTTTGGGATCAAGCTTGTGAATCAGCATTCCGAGAGTTGAAGGAGAGGCTCACGTCTGCACCAGTTTTAATTCTGCCATCGGGAATGGGAGGTTTTGAGGTATACAGCGATGCGTCCAAGAAGGGACTAGGTTGTGTGTTGATGCAGAACGGTAGAGTGATTGCTTACGCCTCACGTCAGCTAAAGGTTCACGAAGAGAACTACCCTACACATGATTTGGAATTGGCCGCTGTGGTGTTTGCTTTGAAAATTTGGAGGCATTATCTCTATGGGGTGCGTTGCAAGATATTCACAGACCACAAGAGTCTCAAACATATCTTTACCCAAAAGGATCTCAATATGCGACAGCGAAGGTGGTTAGAACTCATCAAGGACTATGAGTTAGATATTCAGTATCATGAAGGAAAAGCTAATGTAGTGGCGGACGCCCTAAGTCGGAAATCGAAGCACACCGCTAGTTCTATTTGGGTGGTGGCGGATGAGCTTTGCAAGAAGCTTCAACGGATGAGTTTGGAAGTGGTGGAACAAGGAGATGTGGGGGCAGAAGTTCGTTGTTATAACTTAAGGATTGTACCTACGTTTCTGGGAGAGATCAAGGAAGAGCAGCAAAAGGATGTGTTCTTGACCAAGGTAAGGGATGACCTAGCTAGAGGAAAAGGGGGACCGTTTGAGTTATACGCGGATGGAGTGTTGAGGTACAAAAGCCGTGTGTGCATACCCGCGTCATGTGATCAATGGAAGCAACGGATTTTGGAAGAAGGTCATAACACACCCTATTCGGTTCACCCCGGAGGAGACAAGTTATACAAGGACGTGAAGGGTTTCTTCTGGTGGCCTAATATGAAGAAGGAAGTTGCAGAGTTTGTTGGGAAATGCCTTAATTGCCAAAAGGTTAAAGCGGAACGCTGTAAGGTTAAGGGGTTGGTACAACCGTTAGAAATTCCACAAGGGAAATGGGATTCTATATCTATGGATTTCGTGGGAGGATTACCGACGACCCGTTCGGGTAAGGACAAAATCTGGGTGATAGTTGATCGTTTGACCAAGACCGCCCGCCTCATCGCAATGAAGGAGACCTGGACAATGACACAGTTGGCTCAAGCTTATGTCAATCAGGTGGTAAAGTATCATGGAGTTCCGAGGGATATTGTCTCCGATAGGGATTCAAGGTTCTTGTCTCAATTTTGGAAATCTTTGCAAGCAGCTCTTGGAACTAAGCTAAGTCTAAGTACAGCTTTCCACCCAGCCACCGATGGACAAACAGAAAGGACTATTCAGACTATCGAAGATTTGTTGAGAGCTTGTATGTTAGATTTTCAAGGATCTTGGGAGGACCATTTGGACTTGATAGAGTTTTCTTACAACAACAGTTATCATTCGAGTATTCGCATGGCACCTTATGAAGCTCTCTATGGACAGAAGTGTCGCAGTCCGCTTTGTTGGGAGGATCTTGTTAATCCGATAGTGTTGGGGCCACAATACTTGTTGGACACATCCGCGAAAGTTAAACAGATTCAAGAAAGGATGAAAGCGGCTCAGAATCGTCAAAAGTCTTATGCTGACTTGGCTAGAAGACAAGCAGAGTTTTCAGTTGGGGATAAGGTTTGGTTAAAAATATCTCCCACCAGGGGAGTAATGCGGTTTGGGAAGAAAGGGAAGTTGAGCCCTAGGTTTATAGGTCCGTATGAGATCTTGGAGAGAGTTGGGAGTTTGGCTTACCGTTTGGCGTTGCCTTTGGAGTTGGACAGAGTGCATAACGTGATCCATGTATCACAGCTCAAGAGATATGTTCATGACCCGACTCATGTTTTATCACTGGAAGTGTTACCGATAGATGAAGATTTGTCTTATGAAGAAAGGCCGCTCAGAATTTTGGACTTCAAGACTTGGGACACTCGCAGGAAATCTGTTAGGTTGGTAAAAGTTTGGTGGTCTCATCATGGGGTTGAAGAGGCTACTTGGGAGCTGGAGGCATCGATGCGGGAGCGGTACCCTGAGTTGTTTGTGGAAGGTACCTTGTTTCTTTGGTTGTTGTGTGCTTTGTGTGCTTGCTTGCCTTGTTTGTTGCCTTGTTGTTTAGCTGGTGTGTTAGTTGGTGTTTGGGTTAGTAGTTTAGTCCTTGGTTGTTGTCTAGAAGTTGGTTGTTGTGTTGAGGTTAGAGTTCTTGATGCCAATCTACCCGTTTGTTGACCTCTTGCCTATCCTTGAATTCGTAATGTCTTTCTCTTTGCCTTGGAACCTTGTGAGAACTTTTGGAGTTTTTGACCAAAAGGGATATTCTTGGACTTCTTCTCACAATTTTATTTTCTTGTTACCTTTCGTTCTTAATTCGTTGTACCCAAGTTTCGGGGACGAAACTTCTTTGAAGGTGGAGAGGATGTGACACCCCAAAAATCCACACTCCAAACCATGAATTAATTGAGTAATTAATTCTATTTCTTTTGAGGAATTGATTCCTAAAATCCTGATTTTTGATACTCAAGGACTAGTATTTGACTAGTCAATCTTTAAGTGGTGTTGTACCTTGTGCTTTGAGAGGAGTTCCCTTGTTCCTTACACTTTCTAAGAGTTAGTAAGGGTATCCTTGTCTTTTAACCAAGAGCTAGTTTTGTAACCTAAACCTAGAAGACTTCTTCATTTCATTCCCTTACATTTCCTAGAAAATATCTCTACCTTCTCTCTAGAAAACAAGAGTAGCTTGTTCTTCAAGCCAAAAGAAGCCTTTGTCAAGATTCCAAGTTTTGCTTCCAAGATTCAATCTTTCCTCTATTTTGGCATCTAGAAGGGTAAGATCTAAGCTTGTCTAGTCTTTTTGGTTCCATCTTAGTTGTCTTTTTCTTAAAGGTTGGATCATTATGATCTTTTGGTTTGATCTTGAAGTGGGTTTGGCTAGTGAGCTTAGTGGAGAGCTTGTTGTGGTGTAAGAAGAGTCTTTTGGTCTTCAAGAGGTAACCCATGCTCTACAAAACCTATTTTGCTTACCTATATATGATTTCTTGGCTTCTACTTGTGTTTTGCTATGAAATGTGAGAGTTTATGCATTTATCTTGTGATATTGCATATCTAGAGCTTGTGTTTAGGTTTCCTTTGTGCCATTGCTTGGCATTTTCCTTGGTTCAAGTCATTTTGTTGTGCTTGGTGAGATTTGGCATGTTTTGGATTTGAATTTGTGTTTGAAGGAGAAAATCCCCGAAGGGATTGTTTGACACAGGAGCGTGTACCCGCGGGCGGAACGGCGGGGAGAGCCCTACCCCCCGCCCACCCGCCGGTACACGGTAATGTGGGTGTTGTACCCGCGGGCAGAACCACGGGTAGGGGCCTACCCGTGGGTCCACCCGCAGGGAACACGTTGGAGTTGAGATGGGATTTGTTCCCCGTGTTTCGTTTGTCTTGGTCTTTGATCTTTTGGCCTTCCGTTGTTCTTTTGTGGAACTATTTGAGCGTCTTCTTGATGTTTCGTAGGTCTAGAGCTTTATGGTAGGTATCCATGTAGGATCTTTGGTGTTGTGTATCGTGCTAAGTGTTCAACATTGCGTTTCGTTGAACCGTGTGATGTCTTGTGTGTTCCTCGGAACTATCTTGAGTTTCCTCGTTGTTGAGCTTGCTAGTTATTATCCTAATGCTAGCGTCGTTGTTGTCGATGGGTGGTGACCTGTCTCTTATTTGAGTATGTTTCGTACCTCTTTTGCAATCCGTTGCTTGTTTCGCATGAGTGGTGGTGCGTGTGTGGCTTTACCTGGATTGCACGATTAGTGGTATGGGACGCTAGTCACCAGGGTATTGCAGCGGTCCTCGTGGTGGCCGTGACGTGATTTCATGGAGTTGTGGCTGAGTCCACGTGTTTAGGGGATAACATTGTGTTATCCGGGCAGGTGTTGCCGTGAATTGGTGGGTTTTCGTTGGTGGTTATAGGTGGGGGACGACGGTCCCGGAGGAATAAGGTTGGACTTGGCTGTACAGGGGCTTTCTGGAGGTAATGGTTGGCACCAAAGGTACAAGGTTGAGGGTAGCCATAAGGTTGGAACAGGGCATAAGGAAGGCATATCAACTCGTGATGGGTGATGTCACGAGGGCTTGTGAAGCCGTTGTTCTGGTGAGTTCTCTTCTCTCGTGACGTGTGAAGTCACGGAGGCTTCTGGTGTGGTGTTTTGGCATGTGTTGCCGTTGGGTGAGTCTTTATCCTTGTGTGTGGTTAACCTTTGTGGTTTGGGATGTGTTCCCGGTTTTGTCCTTATGAGTGGTGAATCTTGTGTTGTCTTTTGATCTTGGTTTTGACTTATATATATGTATTCCGTTTCGAAAATGGTTTTCATATTATATATCTACCTATTTATGATACTTAACGGTATTGGTGGGTTACCAGCATCTTTCGCTAACCGGGCGTCGCCCCGATGGTTATCTT